AACCAGAACAAACGAAAACAAAGGAAAGCAATCCGAATGAAATAGTGCCATTTACTCTAGTGACCAGGAAGAATACATTTTTCAGGTCTTAGCTGTTAAGGTAGAAGTGGAGCATCTAAGCATCCTGTCTCTTTGACATTGCTATAAATCTGAGAGCCTCACTGAACTCCAAGTGGGTTTATGGAGCTTAGTAATCGGGGTCTTTAATGGAACATGGGTAGTAATTTGTTGACTGGTTCATGACGTTTTTGAAAGTAAACTGAATGAGGCTCCATTTGTGAAAGAACCTAACAGTTTCTTATTATTGATATAAAGGTTTCTTGGATAGGAAATTTTTATGAAACAAAGAATAATCTGGAAACCAGAAGATTGGCAACACCTGAAAGGATAAAAGAAGGGGAATTTGGCGGTAAGAGAAAAAAATGTAGGAGAGACTGAAATTAAATCTTAAACATGAAATTGGTAAAAGATTGTTTTCAGTTATAATGAGAAAATATTGTAGACTTTAAAATGAAGAAACAATGTTACTCTTGTAAATTATAGAGGTGGAACATAATCTTTTTTTGGTCTATGTCATGTTTATGTATTTGCTTTGCATTTAGGGGTTGTACTAAGTGAAAGTACTAACTTTTACCTATATTGTACTCCAACCAAACTAAGTATTTGTATATCTTAGAAATGCTAGTATTTTGAATTTTTTCATTTTGAGTTTTTTCTTCCCTTAGGCAGAATTGTAAATTAAATTGTAATTCTTTACACGTGATCTAGTGAAAATGAGCGTGTGTTTGCATGTATTTTACTTCTTGACTTCATGTTAGAAAAGCAACGCCGTTCTTTCCTCCTATGTGTCTCCTCTACTCCTCATACAGAATAATTCACTTCTGACACTTCTGGTCATCACATGTATGTGAGGTTTTTCCCCACACCAAGCAATTCTCTGCAACACCAGCTGGATGTCCTACTTCAATTCTCACACTGTCTGTCTGGAGATGGTATCAGATCCCACACGTTAAGGGCTCAGTCCCACAAGACTGCTCCCACCCCACTTCATATGCCAATCACAAGTAGTAGGTCCTCAGGTTATGCACAACTTCTGTCTCACTTGGACTTGGCTACAAATCAGAGGTTCTCACGACCTTCTCCTCATGTTTGATTAAATTGCTATAGTGGCTCACAGAACTCAGGGAAACACTTATGTTTACCAGTTTATTAAAGGATATGATAAAGGATACAGATGAACAGTCAGATGAAGAAATACATAGGGCAAGGTCTGGGAAGGTCCCCAGCACAGGAACTTCTGTCCCAATGGAATTGGGGTGCCTCACCTTCCCTGTGTGGATGTGTTCACCAACTTGGAGGCCCTCTGAACCCTATAGTACTGTGATTTTATGGAGGCTTCATCATGTAGGCAAAATGGATCTTTAACTCCATTTTCAGCCCTTTTGCCTTCTCAAGAGAATGGGGAGTAGGGGAGCTTGGGGGATGCGGCTGAAAATTCCAAGCTTCTAATCATGGCTTGTTCTTTCTGGTGAGCAGCTCTCTTCAGAAGCCATCCAGAAGCCTGCCCAAATTTGCCTCACTAGAACAAAAGACACTTCTATCACCCAGAAAATTACAAGGGTTTCAGGAGCCCTGTGTCGGGAACTGGGGTCAAAGACCAAATATTAGAACAAAAGATGCTCCTAGTGCTCTTATCACTTAGGAAATTACAAGTGTTTCAGGAGGCCTATGTCAGGAGCCAGCACCAGAGACCAATATATATGTTTTTCTATTATCTCACAGACTTAGAAAAACAAAACAAAACATTGTGAGAGACTAAAAATATTACGAACTGTATTATCACAGTGAATGTTTATATTGATGTTGTATGTACTTGGAAATGGAAAAGCAAAATTGTACAAATAGTGTATCCTGGCTTAGAATCTGACCTTTAAATTTTCATTTGAAAAGAAATCAGAGTATTGCTGTTATAACACATACATTATGGTCTTAGTTGTACAGAATAAACAAACGACTTTCTTGAACAGGTTTGAAATAATTGTTTGACATTTTCCAGGAAAATCAGATGCATGTGCCAAATGCAGATTGCTGGCAACTTGTCCTCCTTTTATACAGAGATAAAGGCCACCAGGAAGTCTTTTGAAATTCTACAGTAGCTTGTAATGGGATCTGCAGAACTTGATATTTAACTTTATAACTGTTATTTTCAATTAATAATTATAAGACCTTGAACAAGTCATCTAACTTCTCTGTTCACTATTTTCTTTATTTTAAAATGAAGATATTGTACTAGATGATTTCTAAAGCATCTTCCACTTCTAAAATGCTGTAATTTTATTTCACACTAGGATTCTTCTGCTAATGCAGATTTATAAAAATGAGATAGTTGGTTGATATAGTGGTTGTGGCATTTTACATTCCCACTAGCAAAGTTGAGAGTTCTATTTGCTCTAAATCCTCTTCAACACTTGGTAGCATCAATTTTTAAGATTTCAGCTATTCTCATAGGTATATAATGTTATCTCATTGTGGCTTTAATTTGTATTTCTCTAATGACTGTGATGTTGAACATCTTTTCATGTGCATATTAGCCATTCATTTATCTTTTTTTGGTGAAATATCTATTGAAATCTTTTGTCCATTTTAATTTGGGTTGTTTGTCTTCTACTCATTGTGTTGTAAGAGTTCTTTATACATTCTAGATACAAGACCATGGTCAGATTTTTGTGTTGAGAATATTTTCTCCCATGATGTGGTTTGCCTTTCATTATTTTTACAGTGTCTTTGGAAGAGTAGATTTAAATTTTGATGATGTCCAATTTTTCCATATTTTTCTTTTATGGTTTGTGCTTTTTGTATCCAAAGAAATCTCGGCCTATTTTTATTTGGCTATGATTTTCTCCTATGTTTTCTTCTTGAATATATTTATAGTTTTAGCTTTTTTAAAAATAAACTTATTTATTTAATTTATTTTTGGCTGTTTTGGGTCTTTGTTGCTGTGCGTGGGCTTTCTCTAGTTGCAGCGAGCTGGGGCTACTCATTGCAGTGGCTTCTTTTGTTGCGGAGCACAGTCTCTAGGTGCATGGGCTCAGTAGTTGTGGCACATGGGCTCTAGAGCACAGGCTCAGTATTTGTGGCGCACAGGCGTAGTTGCTCCGCGACATGTGGGATCTTCCTGGACCAGGGCTCGAACCTGTGTCCCCTGCATTGGCAGGCGGATTCATAACCACTGCACCACCAGGGAAGTCCCTTTTCTGGATTTCATTCTGTCCCATTGAACTATTCTTCTGTCCTTATGTCAATATCAGTCTTAATTACTAGGGCTTTATAATAAGTCTGGAATTTCAGTTGTTTAACTCCTTCCACTTTATTCTTCCTTTTCAAAATTGTTTTGCTGGTCTAGGTCCTTTGTATTTTCCTATAAATTTTAAAAGCAATATCAATTTCTACCAAAAAAAAACCTTCAGAGATTTTGTTTGAGATTGAATCTTTAGGTGAATTTGAAGCAAAGGATGTGAACTGGGGTGGAGAGGCAGTTGAATGATCATGCACACTACATTAAGTCCTTCCTTGAAGGAGGATCTTAGTGGAGCATCTCCAGGTCTACATACAGTGGTTGATAGTGTTGTTCAAATCTTCTATATTCTTACTGGGTTTTGTGTGTGTGTATATTCTATGAATTACTGGGAAAGGTGGGTTAAAATCTCACATTCTGACTGGATTTACCTGTTTTTCTTTTTAGTTCTGTCAGTTTTGAAGCTATGTTATTAGCACATATACATTTATAATGGTTATATCTTCCTGATGTGTTGATTCTTTTATCATTACAAAGTGTCCTTTAATTCTAAAAATAATTCTTATGTAATCTGTCTTGCCTGATATTAATCTAACCCCTCCAACTTTCTCATAGTTATTTTCCTCATGGTTTTTATCATTTTCCATCCTTTTACTTTTTAACTTATTTGTATCTTCATATTTAAAGTGAGTCTCTTAGAGTTAATATTAAATTGCTTTAGGAAAAATACAGAAACTTTGCTACTTTTATTATTGGGGGAAGCCAGGTGGAGGGCACATGAGAAGTCCTGTACTATTTTTTTCAACTATGTAAGTCTAAAATTATTTCAAGAATGTTTATAATTGCCTGTTGGTTGGTGCATTTTTGTAGTAACTTCTCTAAAATTCTTGTCTGATAATTCCAACATCTATATCAACTATGTGTTGTTGTTATCTGTTGGTTTGTCCTTATTCATCCTAGTTGAGATTTTTTTTCCTGTCTTTTGGAATGATGAGTATATTCATTTTGGATTGTATCCTGGACGTTTTGAGTGTTATGAGACCTTGGTTCCTACTTAAATCGTCTATATTAGTAGGCAGCCACTGGAGAGGGAGGAATGGTGCTGCGTCTTCGCTGACATTCACCTTATGTAGGGCAGGAATGGTTGGCAGGGCTCTGCCCCCATAGTCTTTGTGTCTGCATCCTGGTGGGGGATGGGAGGGCCACCACCTCTGTTGTCATTTTTGCAGGGTTGGGATGGTCAGCAAGGCACTGCCCCACAGATTATACAGCACCCATTTGGGAGGGTTGCATCCTTCAGGGCTGCTGTCTTCCCAGTCCTTTGGTTGGAGACAGTGGGATTTTTCTTATGGCTTTTTTGTTGTTGATCTACACCTATTGGTGGTTCCAGGTTGTAAACTGCTGTCACACCCAGGGTGAGATACATGAATGGCAAAAAATCTCAAGATTTTTTAATCACTCAAGATCTGCAGTTTCTAGCCAGTCTCTTTTCTACAAGAGTCTCCTTGTAGTTGCTTTGTCTTTGGTCCAAGGTTTATAGTTGTAATTAGCAGGAAGAATAGGATGGAATGCACTTTATCTTGTTTGGAACCAGACATCTCTTACTGGTTTTTTTTGTTGTTGTTGTTTTTATTGGTTTTTAAAATATTTATAATTTCTGTATTTTCTGTTTATTTGCCCTGTGTATTTTGTTTTACAGGCAAATGAAGATAAGACAATGTCAGCCAACCTAAAATACCTTTCCTTGGGAATTTTGGTCTTTCAGACTACAAGTCTGGTTCTAACGATGCGTTATTCTAGGACTTTAAAAGAGGAGGGGCCTCGTTATCTGTCATCTACAGCCGTGGTTGTTGCTGAACTTTTGAAGATAATGGCCTGCATTTTATTAGTCTACAAAGAAAGCAGTAGGTATCTAGGTTTTTTAAGTTATTGCAATTTATTTAATTATTTTGGAGTTATTCACATGTGATACATATATATAGTATATATGTATAGGTACCTATATATATGACATATATATATAGGTAACTACACATTTGAACACTTGCATTATTGAAGAACATTTCAATTTTCATTTTATTAAGATGGTTTTAGTCTAGTAATAAAGGTATTTTATTCTTATCTATGTTATGATTCATGTCCTCTGGTTAATGCTGTAAATATGAAACACAGTATCTTGCATTAATAATAATTTGAGTATAAGTAATTTAGAGGAGTAATAATTTTTTACTAAAGTCAAGGCTTTTTTATTTTATTTGCTGCATGATTAGTCCAGCAGTGACTAATTTGATATAGTTTTTTATTTTTTATTTATTTATTTAATTAATTAATTTATTTATTTATATTTTTTTTGCGGTACGCGGGCCTCTCACAGTTGTGGCCTCTCCCGTTGCGGAGCACAGGCTCCGGACGCACAGGCTCAGTGGCCATGGATCATGGGCCCAGCCGCTCCATGGCATGTGGGATCTTCCCAGACCGGGGCACGAACCCGTGTCCCCTGCATCGGCAGGTGGACTCTCAACCACTGTGCCACCAGGGAAGCCCTGATATAGTTTTTTTTAAAAAAATCTTTATTGCGGGAATTCCATGGTGGTCCAGTGGTTAGGGCTCCATGTGGTTAGATTATTTGGGGGTACATTAAAATGAAAAACAGACTTTTTTATGTTTTTGTATAACAACCAAATGAGAAGACAAGCAACAGATTGAGAGAAGATATTTACATCACAGGTAATCACTAATAATTAATATCCAGAATGTACAAAGAACTCCCACAACTCAATAAGAAAAAGATAAGAAACTCAACAAAAAAAGGGACAAAAGATATAAATAGGCAACTCACAGAAGAGAAAACCTGGGTGGCCAATCAATGTATAAAAAGATGTTCAACCTCTCTAGCAATCAGAGAAATCAAATTAAAGCCACAAGACTCAATTCCACTACCCTCATACTGCTAATGAGAAAAATATGTGACAGCATTAATTATTTAAAAATTTAATTTTAAAGATGAGCTTATATTTTATATTTTTTCTGCTAAAACTAAAAAAATCTTTTGGTAATTTTTGTTTTACTTACATAATTTTTTTACCATTATTTTAGTCAGGAAAGGCTGAATATCAAGTAGCATTCTTTAGTTATTTTCATTTTGGAAACTAACACAACATTGTTAATCAACTAAACTCTAATAAAAATTAATTTAAAAATGGTATTTTCATTTTAAAACAGTTTTCATAAAGTTTGCAAGTTTTATGTTGGGAGAGAAAAATCATCTGTGAAGTATATTATTGGTAAGGTGGTAGGGTTCCTTAGAATTTCTCCCTTTGTGGGTTTATGTATCTCTTAAAGTTCTTTGGACATTTTTTTGTGAATGATACTGTGGGTTGACTAGCTCAGAGTCCATTTTTAACTCCTTTCTCCCTTTCTTATCTCTAATGTGGAGAATATAAAAGAAAAGAAATTGATTTTCCAGCTCCCTTGCAGCAGGGAGTAGTTATGCAACACACAGTCTTGGTCAGTGAGAGGGAAGAAGATGCCTGCTAGGCCACTGTTTCCTCCTCCTCTTTCTTCCTTCCGGAAAGAAGAACCAGAGGTGCATCAGTCAGTTGGTAATCTGTTGCAAAAAATCACGTAGACAATACATGAAAAGCATGAAAATAAAAAGCCAGTATATATACAGAGAGAGCTAGGTCCCTGATGTCATCACAGAGCTGCTGTAGCAGCTTTTGACCTGGACTCATGACATATGAGACAAATCCCTATGGGTTTGAGCCACTTTTGGTTGGGTTTTCTGTTGTTTGAGCCAAACCCACCTCCTGATATCCTTCTTTTTATGATTAAAGTCTTCATAATTATTAATTGGCATTAATGGCTGATGATAAAATACATTATAAAATACAAGGTATCAATATTATAATATTGCTATGATAAAGTAAGAATACTTGGTTGACAAATTAATACTTTGAGGTTTTGGTTATCATAAATACATATGTGTATATATAATCAATTTGATTTATTCCCCAATGAAAGATATATATATATATATATATATATGTATATATATAAAGATAATGCTCTTCTTAATATGCTACCTTATAATATTTAACATTTGAAATATTAGCATCATTAAAGGTATAGGTATACCTTATTTTACTGCAGATATTGTTTTTTACAAATTTAAGATTTGTGGCAACCCTCCATTGTCAGATGATAGTATTTTTTTAGCAATAAAGTTGTTTTTTTTTTTTTGTGGTACGCGGGCCTCTCACTGTTGTGGCCTTTCCCTTTTCATTTAAAATACATTTCTAGTAGTGTTTCTAAGAAAGAAAGAAACAAACAATAATATTAGCTGTTTTCTTTTTCAGGTCACATATCAGTTGAAAATTCTTACGACTGCATTATTTTCTGTGTCGATGCTTAGTAAAAAATTAGGTGTGTACCAGTGGCTCTCCCTAGTAATTTTGATGACAGGAGTTGCTTTTGTACAGGTAACTATTCAAGATAAGTATAACTTTTACTTTTATCACAGTTTCAGAACCTCATTTTGGAAAATATGGTTCTGTTATTTGTTGAAGAAAATTAATGCTTATTCTTACAACTGACTTTTTGAGGGCTTCCTTTGAGCAAGATACTACATTGGGACTGTAAATGACACAAATCAAATTATCCAACATAAAGAAATGAAGTCTATTTAGGGAAATAAGACACTGTATGTAAAACAAAGCTGTTTTTTACTGAGTATCTGGACATTTGAGATCAACCACTCCCTTCCTGTTGTCTCTCAGCTTCCTTGATACCACTCGCTCCTGGTTCTTTTCACATCTTTCTAATGATTCCTTATTGGTTTCCTTCCTGGGGTCCTCTTTCTTGATAGTCCCATTAGATATTGTGTTGTTGATAGGCTTGTTATTTCTCTTAAATTATTTCCTTACTTTTGGAGATTTCATTCTTTCTGAAGGTTTTTATTAACACATATGCTGATAGCTTCTTGGTCTGTGTCATCAGCTCTGGTTATAACCTCTAGTTTCAGATTTATATATATAAAAGCACATTGGACATCTTTGTTTGGTTGTTCAATAGGCCTTATAAACTCAGTGTATCCAAAGCTGCACTTTACCTTTTCCCCACCAAACCTGTTCCTTATTTCTGTTTTTTCCAGTCATGATTTACTTAGCCTGAGAGTTGTCCTAGACTCTTCCTTTAGCCTGTACATCCAGTCAATCACTAAGACTTTCTGATTCTGCTTTCTAATACTTCTTGATTCTGTCCTTGTCTGTCTCTAGCACTTCCACATTTCACGCCTTCTTTGTGTCTCAAGTAATCTTTTGCCTCCTAATTGATTTTTTTTTTTAACTTCTGTCTTACAATTCAGCCTCCACTTAGTCACCACTGTTCTCTATCTAAAAGAAATCCAATCATGTCAATCTCCTGCCATCCAAAGCCCCCCTCCCCTACAATCACTTTCCTCAGAGTGTGGTATGTATATTTTGAATAAATATGTCTAATAGTTATTTAAGTGGTTATTAGAAAAATATAATTGGCATATCAAACCCATATTTTCATAGATTCTGCTTAAGGTAAGGTAAAGTCGGTATTCAGTTTTTAAAAGTGAGGTATTTTAGGGCTTCCCTGGTGGCGCAGTGGTTGAGAATCTGCCTGCTAATGCAGGGGACATGGGTTCGAGCCCTGATCTGGGAGGATCCCACATGCCATGGAGCATCTAGGCCCGTGAGCCACAGCTACTGAGCCTGCGCATCTGGAGCCTGTGCTGTGCAACAAGAGAGGCCGCGATAGTGAGAGGCTCACGCACCGCGATGAAGAGTGGCCCCCGCTTGCCACAACTAGAGAAAGCCCTGACACAGAGACGAAGACCCAACACAGCCATAAATAAATAAATAAATTACTAAACTCCTACCCCAACATCTTCTTTAAAAAAAAAAAAAAAAGGTGGGGCAAGATCTGGATTCAGGAGTCCTGGGTTCAGATCCTGATTTGACCACTTCTTAGCAATGTAGCTTTGAGCATGTTGCTTTCCATCTGAGGCCCACTAAACAAACCTGCAAAGTTATGATAGTAATCATATAATTACCACACTGTTAGGAGAATTAAAACCAGTAACTTAAAAAAAAAAAAAAAAAAAAAAGTGAGGTATTTTAAATTAAAATATCAAGTAATAGTTTAGGGAGAACATACATTTGACAAAAACCATGAAGATGATAGTGAAATAAGTGAAGTTTTAGGAACACTGATCTACAGAATAAAGCTCAGAATGGTTAGCATGAAATGGACCTTCCATAATGAAACATCAGCTCCATACTCATTTTTGCTGCTCCAACACTTCACACTCTGAATTTCTCAACTGAACTTCTTGTGGAGGCTGTTTTGTGCATCTGTGCTTTTATTATAATTGTTCTCTTTTTTAGGGTATTTTTGAAATTATAAATTACAACAGTAATATCACTATGGGAAAAAAAATGATTCTAAGTTTTTCTTTCAAAAGCTCTTCTCTGCAATCCCCCAGAATGGTATTGGTTGCATTTTTACCTTAAGGTCTAAGAGTGGACTCTACATATGTATTTTGTAAAATGTTATAGGAATTAAACTTCAATTTTGTTTTTCTTTTTGTTCAGTGGCCCTCAGACTCTCAAGAGCTTAATTCTAAGGAACTTTCAGCTGGCTCACAATTTGTAGGCCTCATGGCAGTTCTCACAGCATGTTTTTCAAGTGGCTTTGCTGGGGTTTACTTTGAGAAAATCTTAAAAGAAACCAAACAATCAGTGTGGATAAGAAACATTCAACTTGGTAAGTTTTAAATGTTTTCTAATATTATTTTTAAAGGATTATATTGTTATGTTTAAAGATTTCTGTGTTTTCCTGTTTTTTTTAAAATTTTTTGGCCACACCGCACAGCATGCGGGATCTTAGTTCCCCAACCAGGGATTGAACCTGTGCCCCCTATATTGGGAGCACAGCATCTTAACCACTGGACTGCCAGGAAGTCCTATGTATCTTTAATTAAATAAACCTTTTATAAAAGCTGCTGTTGATGCAAATATCTGTCAGGGTTTTTGCCTTTTGAAAAACTGTATTTTAAATGAATGTCTTTTCAAGAATATGGAATTTTGGGTCTGTGCTCATAAGGCTGTATGAAGCCTGTTTCTGTCCTCACCATTTGGAGCCTTTGTCTTTGGTTGCTATGTTTTCCACAGATGTTGCAAATAACTTACATATTTTCCTCCTGGAAAAAGAGATTAAGATAGGAAAAAGAAAAAAACAAAAAACAAAAAACAAAGAAAAAACAAAGATAGTAAATTTAATTATATGATACAGTGTTATCAGCTACAGTCACCATGTTGTATATCAAATCACCACAATGTACACTTCAAATGCTTAGAATTCTACTTATCAATTATACCTCAGTAAAGCTGAAAAAATAGACACTTAAATCGAGCAAGTTTGAAATGAAGAAATTTTGTCTCCTTAAAATCTTACTATGCTTTTTTATTTCAAATTGTTACATTTTAGCTTTTAAATACTACAGCATTTTTCTAACTGAAGGTGAATAGTTTAAAAGAAAAAAGAGATTGCCTTTGAATAGATATTTAAACTATTTGTATACAGTATTGTAACATTTAACTCCTCATACAAAGATTTCAGAATTTAGTATTCTTGTCATATTCATTTTGGAAGATGCTACATGTGAGAAGCAGCTCAACTGCAAATCAACATGTTCTGTTTTAAGCCTCTGTCCCTGTGACTTTGGAGCTCATCTTTGAAACCATTGTTTTTTTCTCTGAAGCCACTGTTTTTTTCTTCACATCAGCTTAATAGCTATACCATGTTTCCTGATAGCAGTCATAACAGGCCCTTCCAGGCCCTATACAGTGAATTGTCTGTAATCCTAATGGCCTGTATTTTGAGACAAACCTTCAAAATTTGATTAAAGTCCATCCTTTCAGTTGTTTTCACATAATATGATGACAAACAGACTGAACCTTCGTTTTATCACATAGTATTTATTTGTTTCTCTGCAAAATTTGTAGAAATGTATCATGTGTTTTTTTTTAAGAACTTCAAGGTAAATATTTTTGAAAACAAAATTAAATTAGCTTCCCTTTGTTCATTTTGTCTAGAAGGCAAGTTCAGACTTGAAAAGCATTCACCATTTCAGAAAGAGTATATCTATAGCATAGTGGTTAAGAACTCTTGGTTTGGTAGTCTGACCACTCAAATCCTGATTTTTTTTTTTGTGTGTGGAACATGGGCCTCTCACTGTTGTGGCCTCTCCCGTTGCGGAGCACAGGCTCCGGACGTGCAGGCTCAGCGGCCACGGCTCACAGGCCCAGCTGCTCCACGGCATGTGGGATCTTCCCAGACCGGGGCACGAACCCGTGTCCCCTGCATCGGCAGGCGGACTCTCAACCACTGCGCCACCAGGGAAGCCCTAAATCCTGATTTTATTACCTACCACGTGTGTGGCATTACAGAACTTACTTAACCTTCCTCTCTGCTTCCTCATCTATAAAATGTACTTAATTATGGTACTTATTTCATATGTTGCTATGTGGATTAAATGAGATAATACATGTAAAGTGTTTAGAATAAAGTGCCTTGTGCTTTATTAGTGCCTAAGCACTTACATCAGCTATTTACATTAATACGCAAATATCAGAAAAGAAAGAAGTATTCAGGTTTGTATGAGTTCCCCCAAATTTTCTCGATTTTAAGATAAAAATGAAAGGTCAGAATTCATGACTCTGGTATTTCACGGATTTCTTATTCTTTGGTTTGACCTCATAACACAATCTAATGGTAATGGTAATAACTCAAAGTTTTGAAAAGGATACATAAATAAGTTATAGAACTCGAGATTACAAAAACAAAACAATGTATAGAAGTTTTCAAATATCAACGGTCAAAGGTTAGCTAATTGATAAGATCCAATATTAGCCACAGAATGGAGAAGCAGGAACTCTTGTTACCTTAGGTTGCTATGAGTACAGTCTTCCCTTGGTATCTGTGGGGGATTGGTTCCAGGACTGCCGTGGATGATCAAGTCCCTTGTATAAAATGGTGTATAGTGTTTGCATATAACTTATGCAATCTTCTCATATATACTGAATCATCTCTAGATTATTTATAATACCTAATACAGTGTAAATGCTTTGTAAATAAGTTGCTGTGCTGGCAAATACAAGTTTTGTTTTTTGGAACTTTCTGGAATTTTTTTTTTTACATTTTTGATTCATGGATGGTTGAATCTGTGGAGGCAAAACCTGCGAATATGGAGGGGCAACTGGTAGACTGATGTAACCTTATTGGATTGGGAATATATAACAAAATTTTAAATAAATTACAGCTTTAGTGTAAAAATTCCATGTCTGGATAAGAATTTATCCTACAGATATAAATATTTATACAAGAGAACAAAGATAAATGTCCAAGTTTATTCATTTCAACATTGGTTACAATTGTAAAAAATAGAAAACATTTAGAATACTGGTTAAATAAATTATCAATATGATTAAATGTATCATAGACTTCAAAACCACTCTGCCTGGATTAAAATCTTGAATCCATCACTAACCAGCAACATGAGTTTGGGCAAGTTTATTTAACCTCTCTTTGCTTCAGTTTGTTCATCTGTAAAACGAACTAGAAGTGTCCACCTCATAGGGTTGTTATGAGTTAACATACATAAAGCACTTAGTACATTTTGTTGCATGTGGCGTTATATGTGTATTTCATACTGTTATTGTCCGTCCGATGGAATATTATGCAACTGATAGAAAGAATGCAGTAGATCTGTACATACTGACGTGTGTACTCTTCTGTACTCTCTATATTTTTTGTAATTATCAAGTGTTATTTTTATAATTAAAAAAGAAATGAATAATACCCTTGGAAGTGTTTATTTTTGTGATTTTGTATTATACCAGTATTGTTTTCATGTTCTAAATTAGACATATTAAAATGATAGAGTTGGCATAAATAAAATTTTAGAAAGAACATTTCACATCCCTTTTAGTTCTTTTTCACTGTGGAATACTTTGAGTAGTTGTGGCTTTATAAAAAATTGCTTTACCCTGCACTCTTTGCTTATCTTACCACAGACTGCCCCAAAGAGATGACCCCTGTAATATCCATTTCTTTATTCATAGTTTAGGATTGCTCCAGGAAATCTTAGATCCAGTAGTCATGTGATAAGCTCTGTGGTAGAAGTAAGGGATTCAGCAGTGAATAAGACACATTTCAGGCTCTCACTGAGCTGACTTTCCCTAACAGTGAGACTTCAATAACAACATTCTGACGTTGCCTATGGCTGACTGTTTCTTAGCTCTAATTTTTTGTTTATTAATTATTGTACATCCAAAATTTCTAAATAAAGGAAAATGCTGGACCACATACCTGAGCTATTATGTCTGCATGTATGAATGTCAATATATGAAAATCTAGATCTAGCAAATAGGAAGATATAAGATACAATGAAATACACCAAAAGTGAGCATTTTAGAAATATTTGAATGGGACAGCCATTTAGTCCTGGAATGTATACATTATATTTTTTCAGTCCTCCAAAGTTGGTAATCTCTGTTCTTTTATATATTCCCATGTCTATATTACAGTCATAATATAGTACTAAGTATACTTTTCTTAAGTTTATATAATTATACAAGTAAAAAATTTTTAAAGTAGTCCAACTTTATTGAAAAGGAAAAGTTAAGTTTAAAAGTATTTGGAATGTTAATAGAAAAATATCTCTCCAGGCAAACTAAATGATGTTTGACATAGACTTTACTTTTATTTTAGGTTTCTTTGGGAGTATATTTGGATTAATGGGTGTATATGTTTATGATGGAGAACTGGTATCAAAGAATGGATTTTTTCAGGGGTATAACTGGCTGACGTGGATAGTTGTTGTTCTTCAGGTAAAGCATTTAAAGTCTTACATTTATGCTAATAAATTTTATTTTAATATAGAGAATCAAAGTAGCTATGATATACTGATATGAGGAAGAAGGGTTCCCTCCTATCAGTACTCTCATTATCTCTAGTTTATTCAGGGAAGTTAAAATAGAACTGATCTAAATGCTGTAATGAAAACTTATTTGAAAATGAATCATGAATGAACTTTATGGTATTTAAATTTAACATAACGAAAATGCAAGTTTAAGAATAAAAGTTGTAAGCTGAGGACAAATATAACTTGTAATTTTTCTACTGTTCTGATCATTTTACAGGAAGTCTGTGGTCAGCTCTTTCAGGCTCAAGAAGCAGATCTAGATATTTAAATCTGTAACAGTTTATAGTTTATATTTTGGTTACATATTGGAGTACTCCTATCAAATTACCTCGGCTTATAACTTGAAATTATTCAAGGGTTGAGTAATTTCATCTTCAAAAAATACTTACTGAGTACTCTGGAGGATACAAAAATGAAGATAGAAGTCTCTGCCTTCACAAAGCCTTTCTCTAGAGGTATTTGAAGCTGTAAGAAACAAGTTCCCTTAGGGAGGATGGGTGAAGGTGGCAGAGGATAGTTGTGTTTTGAAAGCAGGAAGGATACTTCTATTTTTAATATAGGGGAAAAGGAGACAAGGGTAAGTGAAAATTCAGAGAAAATTTGAGGTAGAGACAGGGTAAGTCAGGAGAGTTTATGTATGATGGCTTTTATCCTATCAAGGAGGGAAGCTCTCTTTCCTTAAGAGGGGCTAAAGACTTGAGAAAAATTTTAAAGGTTTGGTACAGTTGGTGTGAGGGAGTAAATAGGGGAATGAGAACATTGCTAAGAAATACCAGGACTCAAACATCAATTTGTAGTGAGCTCACTTGGCATAATTTGTGACTTTCTCTCATAAAGCTTCTACCATTTGAAGAGGTACAGTGAAAGTGGGTAACCCAGACTTGGGAGCTGATATGTAGGGTTCGGTAGAAAACAAAACTATGAGATATGGTAAAACTTTGTTATTTAAGTAGCCACAATTTGGAATTTGAGAGGGATTTGGTAGAAAGTTCTTCACTCTTTTTTTTTTTTTTTCCTGCGGTACGCGGGCCTCTCACTGTGTGGCCTCTCGCGCTGTGGAGCATAGGCTCCGGACGCGCAGGCTCAGTGGCCATGGCTCACGGGCCCAGCCGCTCCGCGGCATGTGGGATCTTCCCGGGCCGGGGCACGAACCCGTGTCCCCTGCATCAGCAGGCGGACTCTCAATCACTGCACCACCAGGGAAGCCCAGTTCTTCATTCATAAAGAGAATGATTAAAGTGCTTTAGGAAGAGTAATCTGACAGCAATGAAAGGTAGATTAGAATGGGAAGAAGCTAGAGGAAGAAATCCAAGTTAGGCTATTAAAAGGCTAGTAAAATAACTTTAAAGTTACAGTTTATTTTTAATCAAAAGTAAAAATATTTAATCATTGTGTCCAATTTTCCCACATTTGTCTGAACAAGTGATGTTTAATTACTAAATTGGATGAGGATGGATGTTTTATTCATAATATGGTCAAACTCCATTATAACAAACTGCAGATTATGCTGGTAGTTACTTTGTCAGATACCTTTTGAAATAAGGGGGCTACTGAACAAAACCTATAAGTCCATTTGTTATGAGATGTTTAATAAAAGTAACTTACTTTAATGGGATTAGGTTATAGGACAAAGCCTAAAGCTTCATTGAGATTGTTCTGAAAAGCAGTTTTATATATGTTTATTTTTTAAAATAATCTTTTAAAACTTCTGCAGGCACTGGGAGGCCTTGTAATAGCTGCTGTTATTAAGTATGCGGATAACATTTTAAAAGGATTTGCAACCTCTCTGTCCATAATATTATCAACACTGATATCTTATTTTTGGCTACAAGATTTCGTACCAACCAGGTAGTGTATTCTTTTCTATTTCTTCAAATCTCCAAAAGTATATAGAAAAATAAGAGTCCTTCATAAGATCTAATCTGAAAAATTTTGTTCTATTACAACTTTTGAAGAAATATATAGTAAGATTCATTTAACTATCTTTTTTTTTTTTTTTTTTTTTTGCGGTATGCGGGCCTCTCACTGTTGTGGCCTCTTCCGTTGTGGAGCACAGGCTCCGGACGCGCAGGCCCAGTGGCCATGGCTCATGGGCCCAGCCGCTCCGCGGCATGTGGGATCGTCCCAGAACCAGGGCACGAACCCGTGTCCCCTGCATCAGCAGGCGGATTCTCAACCACTGAGCCACCAGGGAAGCCCCCCATTTAACTATCTTTTTAAAAAGGTTTCAAACTAAATGCATGAAAGAAAATCTAACACTGGAAAGCAATTTATACAATTTGGCTCGCCAGAATTTTCTCAATAGATCTGAATAGGTTTTTTTCCCCAAAGTTACAAGTCATATTTTTAAAAGTTAATAAGTCATAAAAGTCATAAAATAAGTCATATAATTACATTTTTAAATGAAGAATTTATATAGCTAAAGCTAAGAGAGTAGGTGACATTCTTGAAGAGGATAGTTTGTTTATATAGAGAAGGTGGCTCATGAGAAAATTCAATTAGGTGGTGGCAGGGAGAAGAATAGTCTGAAAAAGAATTGCAAAAGGAATGATGGGTGAGGCAGGAGACCCAGGATCATGTAGTGTCATGGATGCCAAGAGAGAAGACAGAGTGAGGAAGAGTAAAGTGTAATAAAGTTCTATTTTTTTTTACAATTACTAATTTGTAATCCCAGAGTAATGAGATTATATTTTAATGGATTCCAGGATACCATTCATGGTTTCCTCTAACTTCACTCCCCTCCTTATCTTCTCATTCTCTAAACTTTGGAGTACTCTCTTCATCTGTCCTTGGACTTCTTATATTTGCACTCACTCCCTTGGAGATCTCTATTCTCATGGCTTTAAATACCATCTATAGGCTAATAACTCTCAAATTTAAATTTGAATTCCAGGCTTTTATATCTAATTGTCTATTTGACATTTTCTTCAATGTCTAACTCATTCCCCATCTCTGTCAGGGTTCCCAATTTAGTAAGTGGCAGCACCTTCATTCTTTCAGTTGCTTAGGCCAAAATCCTTTCTGACTTAGGAACACAGTATATCCACAGTAACCTCAGAGAAGGCAGACTCTATAGCTATGGACATACATAGCTTTATAAGAGGAAGTTAAAATGTATGGAAATTTTAAATTTTCTTAGTGAAGTAAGGTCATCAGCTTCTCTTTACTCTTCTCTCACATGTCATTCTAATCCAGAAGCAAATCCTGTTAATTCTTCCTTTTTAATAATCTCCAGAAGCTGACCATTTCTCACAACCTCTACTGCTACCACCACAATCCAAGTCACCCTCATTTATCGTCTAGATTAAGGAAATAGTCTCCTGACTTGTCTCCTTGCTTCTTCTCTTCACCTGTGTCCCCGAATTTTCTCCATTCAGTAACCAGAATGATTCTTTTCAGTGTAAATCAGATCATACTCAGAAACCCTCTAATTCCTTCCCATGTCACACAAAAGTTGTCACCATCGACAGCCTATTTGCTTTGGCTTTTAGCTACCTTTCTATCCTTACCTGATATTACTTTCCTCTTGTTTACCTTTTTTAAATTAAAAAATTTTTTTTTTTGCTATTGTAACTTCTTTGCTATGGGCTTTGACTTGCCCTATTTTTCTTGGAAAACACATCCCCTACATATTCACATGGCATACTCCCTCATGTCCTCAGATCTTGGCTCAAATATCCCTTTATCAAGAGATCTAAGAAAAAGCACCCCCTCTTCCAACATTCTTTCCTCCTGTCTTCAGAAGAGTTAGCACCATCTGATAATAAGTAAGCAAGGCTGGAGTTTGGCACATAATAGATACTCAGTATGTTTGCTGAATGAATGTTCAAGACCTTAAAATTTTAATACAGTTAGTAAAATTAATTTGTGTTAGTGAGAATGAGATAGGATTGTGGGTGGAATTTGGTAGTAGAAACCAGTTTAAATTCATTTCCTGTTTATAGTAAGGTATATTATATATATGGATAGATAAACTAAAGAAGAAACCAAGTCTTCCTGCATTCAGTCTTATTTCCTTTTGTAAAGCATCCTATAAAAATCCTGAGTTTTGCTTATTACTACCTTGTATTTTAAACTGAACTTTACTGTGGTTTGAAAAGAATGCAATTTTCCCTTTATATATTCAAATTTTAAAAAAAATTGAAATCTCTTATTATTCAATGTATTATAGGCAAAAGGCACATTACAGTGAAATACTATATATACATATATGTATAACTGAATAACTTTGCTGTATACCTGAAACTAACACAATATTGTAAATTAACTATACTTCGATTTTAAAAAATGGTTTTGAAAAAAGATGAAATACAACCTTTTATACATCTTTGCTTTGGGAGACTACAGTATAGCACAGTGGATGAAAGTGCAGGCTTGGCTCTAGAGTTAAACATACCTGAGTTTGAATTCCATCTCCCACTTCAAGCTGTGGGACTTCAAGCAAATTATTTAAATTCTCTAAACCTGTTTCCTCATATATAAACAAATGAGGACAGTGCTAGTCCTTCCTCATAGGATTGTTGTGAGAACTAAATGAGATAATGCATGTAAAAAAACACTTAGCTAAATATCTGGAATGTAGTAAGTACTCAGTATTTGTTAGCCATGTTACTGGAACATTTTGTCCCAAATTATATTTGTTTTTATAGTAAAGAAATATAACTTGTTTTGTTTTTAATCTGATTTTCTCTTTTTCATTTTTTCTTCATCTATTTAGTGTCTTTTTCCTTGGAGCCATCCTTGTAATAACAGCTACTTTCCTATATGGTTATGATCCTAAACCTGCAGGAAATCCCATTAAAGCATAGTGGTCATACTGTCTTTATCTGGTTTTTCACAATGGTGCACTAGGAATCTCAACATTAATCCTGCACAGAGGACTTCTACAGATTCTAAGAAAAAAATCATCATGCTGAATCTGATCATAATGTTCAAATGGTTTGAAAATATGAAAGTTTAAGGATAAAATATATGTATATGTAACAAAATGCCTATTGCATCAAGAAATCAAAACTTGAAAGTATTTCCAGGGATTAGAATAATTATTGGAGGAAACTTGAAATCTGAGTTTAAAAAGATCTTATGTTTTTGATTGCTGCAGAAATATCCTATGCATTCTTTGCAAGAGCACACAACAAATGTCAGACATCAATTTTGCAAATTAGATATATTTAATCTTATTAAATGTTTTTTATCTTACTCTTTCTGTACAGATATATCAAATAACATGGATATTCAAAGTTTGAAAATTATAATTACCTATAAAGCTGTGAAGAAATAGGATGATTTGAAAAACATTTTCATGTATCTCAGATTTTTATATTTATACAGAAGATTACTAAACAAAGGATTGCTATATGTTGCAAATGTTCAACTGCATAAAAATTGATAAAGTAACATTCTGGGTCTGATTTGTCAGACAATAAAATTCACATTTAAATTTAGTGTAAAGAAATATACACATCTATTTCTCCATCTACATTTTAAGATCTTTTAGTGCTTCAGAACTGCTGGAAGCAAGCAATCCAGTTGTTCCTGTGCTAGATAGTAGCCAGTTACTTTTACACTAATGGAGTTTTGTCCTTAATCTCTTAATTGTATTTCTTTTCTGTAAATCAGATAAATCCTTAATATTACTTTAAAATAAATTTCTGTGTGTGTTAATTTCCATTAAAGTTTTAAAATGTAATTTAAATACTCATATAATAATTTAAAATAATAATTATTGTCTAATGTCTCCATTTGGAGAATTTTGAACTATCAAAGCATATACTGTAAAATAACTAGAGCATTTTTAGATGAATATTTTACTCATTGATCTGTAAAAACTTCTTTTAATCTACAACTGTTGACAAAACCAAAAAAATAGTAGTACAGATGTCAATAAATTGAGACCAAAATGACTTTTCTTGGAGACATTCCAGATTGCCATGATATTACATTATTTTAAATGGCACTGTAAGTATAAATTCAAGGCTGCTCAGAAGAACTTTCTAGGCCTCTCATAAACCCATCATTCCCAGGAATTCTCTGATGCATGTCTGGGAGAGGCAGCTGAATTCTGAATTCCCTTTCTGTGACCCTACAAAAGCTGCCAGGAAGGAGCCACAGCTTTGCTTTACAATAGTGGTTTCCTTTCCATTTGATTAGCACTGGAGTTGAGATTGAAAATTACATGAGTTATTTAATAAATTGGTTCAGGGAGAGAAAATATAGCTGAAATGATCAAATGAACTGGTGGGCACAAATACTTTCTAAAATTGGAATATGGGTTTAATTTAATTATTGACTAGAGACAGGATTACCTATTATGTATAAGAAGTAATTTATTTTTTTCTTTCATACATTATATATTTTTAAAAGTCTCCTGTTCTAGTAGTATAAATCTGTAAAAAATAAATATTTTTATATAATTCTAATGGCTTTTGTTAAACAAAATTTGGCTGAAAAATACTATGTTACAAACTTAGCTACTCTTGGCTAATTAGGACTGGCTGTGTTACTTTGCTGAGGCAAACCTAGCCTCTACAGGACAAAAGCCTAATATATTCCATACAGAGTTTTAAAAAATGCTTAAAATTACAAAGTATTTTTAATTAATCTGCTGGTGATTCCAAGTTGGCACCAAGCAAACTTTCTGGAACTCTGACTTAGGACTTTCAGTGACCACCTTTTAGAGTATTTATTTAATAACTTTACCACAATTTGAGAATGGTGTTTTTAGACTGTAACAACATTCAGGCTTACATCTTATTACTTACTGCTAAGGGAAATCTAAATCCCATAATGCATAGAATTCAAGACTAAATATAAAGATTTATGTTCAGCTCACACTGAAGTACTGGTTGGGTACTTATGTGTTAATTTAGTGTGCATTCATAATTAATTGTTAATTCAGGTTTAGTCTCTCAATTTTAACACTTCAAAAAATGATACAGCAAATTACTGGACATCAGACATGTTAGTTACAATAGTAATATATTTTCAGGTGTCCAAAATAACACAATTTTCAAGATTCCCACCAAAGTTTATAAAATGTAATCAAGAGTTCTGAGAAAGGGCAAAATAGTCTATTTGCAAAGCAAATTTTATTAGACAGGCATAATTTATATTTTGCTTTTCTAGTCGGTTTGAAAACGTTATTAGAGATTTGGTTGTGTAGTTTGTGATTCATAAAGAAATAATCATATTTGAGAAGGTGGACCTGTATCCTAGATCATGTCATATATACAGATAATGCTGTTTTCTTCTGTATGTGCTGTGTATTTTGATGACCTCCAGAAGCCTTATTGTATCAATCTTTTATAATGATGACTCCTTGATTATTTAAATTCTTATACTTTTTAGAGTTTACATGCTATTACTTTGTTCATTATAAAAATGTGCTAACTCATGGGAGAAGAGTGCCAATTGATAGTTCTATAAAACTTAAGAATATGGTATTTTGGAAGAAAATTTTGAAATGCAACATGTAGATGTATCAACACAGTAATATTATCAATTCTATAATAAGTGATTTTTAGAGACATTGTAGACTACTTTTATGGTGGAAAATGTAGTTTAGAGATGCAAAACTTAAATGTTTACATCAATTTATATTGAATGTCACAATTTCATAGAAGGAAAGGTGGTTTGATATTTAAACTAGATTCTAAGGAGACAGAATCTGAGTGGAAACTAATTGACTTTGTGCTCAGTAGACTTAGTGTAATACTAACTATTCTTAAGAATTGATACACTTTTCCTACATATCAAATTATTAGACTTTTAAAATGTCATTGTATAGTCACTCACCTAAGTTTTGTTTTGTTTTTTAAAACAGGGTTTAGCATCACTCATTTTATTTACACTTTTGTTGTTATAATATTTAATTACATATGAATGTATGCTCTACATAAGAAAAAGTTTATGAAAGTTATTTATGCTATATTGAAAGTCGTCTTAAGGATGTCCCAGATATGTAGCATATTTAAAGTAATTATAGGACCAAAGAAAAAGCACCTTTATCAAAATCTGGTCCTATGTGCCTTGCTTTACCAAATACCTGACTTTTCTGGAGGACATTACTGTAATTCACAATTTTGGACACATAGGCAAAATTAGGATGTTTTAAGAATATAATTCAATTTTTTCATTGTTTCAACATTTGCTATTTAAATCCATTACCTAACAGAATATTAAAATAGGTATATTATACAAGTATTAGTGAACAGAACTTATTTAAATAAATTATGGTACTATTGCTCCATCATTGAAATTTTGAAACTTTAACAATTGTATATAACTGTCATTTTGGTTTTTTATTTCTTATTATAAGATATAATTTACTGTGATTTTTAAACTATTTTTTTAATGATTTGGATTCTGAATTTGTCTATATGTGTATTTCCTTTGTTTAGGAAGATTCTTTTGGGTTTGGGGCTGTGATTTGTATATTTAAATTTTTTATGGACATAATTCAAAGGAATCTGTAAATTGGTCTTTTGTTAAACGGCTTTTTATTTGATAAATTTCTCTTTGTCATTTTTTGGTATCCAGTTATTATCTATTCAGTAGATTTATGGAAATAGATTATTTTCACAACTATGTAAATTTTTTCCTATATTTCCTTGTTTCCCTATTCACCTGTGCTTGACTTAACCATGAATTAGTCTCCTCTCTATATATCAAAAATGACTCACTGAGCCTTTCCCTACCTCTCTACCTCTCTTCCTTTTTACTAGCCTATGCCCTAGCATGAAAGACTGGATTTTATTTAAACTCATTAGAATTTCTCTACCTGTATGATGATAACAGTCTAAAATTTTTTTGCTTTAAATAAATTATCTCTTTGCTAGCCTCAAAGTTAAGAAATTACAGTAATTGGGTTTTTTTTTTTCATATTTGTTGTTTTTGTTTTTTGGCTGCACCACATGGCTTGCAGAATTTTAGTTCCCCGACCGGGGATCAAGCCTGTGCTCCCTGCAGTGGAAGCACGGAGTCCTAACCACTGGACCTCCAGGAAATTCCCAATTTTCTTCATAATTTGAATATGATTGAATTGCTTCTATTGTGACTATCAATTCAATGCATAGAGATCAAATGATAAGCAATATAAAGGATTTTATTTCCACCTTTATTACTGAAGTAACCTTGTACAAAATGCTGTTTTAAAATGTTACTAAAATAATATCAGCATTAAAATGTATACTCTTCTTTGGTATCTTCTCAGAAGCACTAACTGAAAATCTTTAAATATTTTTTTATTGTAATACTTTCATTGAAAGTATATCAAAATCCTTGAATCCTGTGCTATGCAAATATGCCTCATAATCTAAATCTTATAGATACCACTGCCATTCAACACAGTCAGATAGTGACCAGCGTTAGTAATCATAATTGTCTTTCTTACTGTTCTTAAAAAGAGAATTTTTCAAAGCAGGATTGATTACATACGCATTCCAGAGGAGAAAATATCAGAGGAAATAAATTGCCGAACTTCAAATCCCAAAGATTTGAAATTGTACTATAGTAGAGTGTCTTGGTGACTATAAATTCAGAGGTTTCCCAAATTCACCTTCAGCTTCAATAATTCACTAGAAAGAACTCACTGAAAGCTATTATACTCATAATCACATTTATTCCAGAGAAAGAATACAAATTAGAACCAGCCAAAGGAAGAGATATATAGGGCAGAGTCTAGGAGGGGTCCAAACTCCAGTCATCCTTTCCAATTGTCCACTCCCATGGAGTCTTAGACAATGTTATATACTCTGGCCACAGTTTATGATACTACACGCGAGTACTGCCAATTGGGAAAGTTCACCCA